CAAGGACCATGTATAGTAAAACTCACCTGCCTAAGAGAACAAACATAATAGCAATTGAATAATTTTGAATTTGTGTAAGGAAAAGCAAAGGAAGCAAAATTTACTGGTTTTTTTTACAAGACCTCTCTCTGCCAGTATAAAGAGGGACTGTGTCTAATATGGCCTTCAACAACTTTATTTTATTTTTTTCCCCCAAAAGGATTTATTACAACTAAGTTTAAAACTTGAAAATCATTAATTCAGAATACAGCTATCTTGCAAATCTCTATTGCTCACAAGGCAGTGGCCAAGTTAAAAGGCTAAACTGAACTTTAATTGCGTTGAGAATCTTGCCAGAGAAATTAAAGGAAAGGATCTTTTTAGTGAGGTTGTCTTTGCCTGTAATTTGTACACTGCACAAAGTGAAGCCATAGAATTCTCATCTTTCAAGGATATATGTAAGAATATCTTCTTTATCTATTGATGTAGCATTTGGTTTTCTTGTAAATACAGAATCTATACCTGGTCACTGTGAAAACTTGTTTTCATTTCTTAGTGTAGATGAGAGAAGTTTCTAAACTGGAGTGAAAACTTTACTCTGTTTGTACTGGGGTAAGAGATGCAGTGATTATATGGATGTACCTTATGCTGAATATTTGTCAGAAATCTTTAGAGAGGTCTAATTGGGCAAATTAATATTTTGTTGAGAAGATTAATGGTAGTAATGTAAAAAGGATGATGTAGTCAGTGATGTAAATGCAGATGGTGAAGAGGAGTTATAGTTCTTTAGCACAGTCCTTTATCCTGTAAATTTTTTTTTTTGATGGTCTTGAGCTCACCAGTGATCAGATGAGACCATGACAGCTGGCACCAGTACTGCAGCAAGAGCAAATCCTAGCAGTAGTTAGCCTATGCTAGAGAGCATTTAGCTAGAGAGAGGGGAAACCTTAAAAGCATTGGTAAGAAGGTAAATTTGAACATCTGTGGATGTTTAAGTATACTTTTTGCTGAATACACCAAGAGAGCACTTCTGTGTTTTCATGTGCTGACAATATATAGATTTCTACTTTTGTGTTCTCTCTGCCCAATGGAATATTGGTAAGGATCTTACTCTGTGTGAAGAGGTTGATAATTCTGCATATGTTAGTTTAGTATATTTTTTTCAAAGTAGCTTCCAGTGACGTGGAAGTACATGATTCAATCATATGAGAATGGTTATATTGTCAGTTATATCTTCAGAGTTTAAGCTGTTCAGAACTTGCAGTAAAGCAACAAAAAAAAATACAGGTCTCTAGAAAATACTTTCCAAGTGTAGTAAACTTGAATATTGATTCAGACTTTCTTCCACAGCTGGGCAGGTGGAAGGAAAAGGACAAATGTTAACTTGAGAACAGCTGTTTTGAACTTGGTTATTGCTATGCCAGCTGGAGAGATGGAATCCTGTTTGTTTAATAGCACAGGATAGAAATATTTTTATAAGGAGAAAATGCAGCCATAAGAAGATGATGGAGTTGTATTACCTGAATCCTTTTTCTGCAGTGTGCCAAGAGTGGCTGTAGCTGTGGTGTGTGCTGTGCTCTGAAAACACTTAGAACCAGGGGGACTTTGACATGCTTGGATGTGCTTTGAGTGCTGCATTTCTGTCTGCATAATGCTAGTATTATTTAAGAAAAAAAATGATTCAGCATCGACATGAGATGTATATGCGTATGAAAATAATGTCAGAGGACATTAGAGGAATCCTGGAGCTTTTTTTTTCTTCTTTTTTTTTTTTTTTTAAGTTGCCTTCTTGGTTCTCCTTGTAATCCCCTGTGCTGATTTATATGAAGTGTGGGTTATATGGGTGAAAACACAATTTATTAAAATTTAATTTTTTAAAATTATTGTAACTCATGCATCTGGATTAAACTTCACTTGGCATGAGAAGTATCTGGTGCTGGTAATACTGATTAACAGTTTCATGTGGTAGCATCCAGGTGTGTGCAAATTATTTCATCTCTTGGGGATTTAAAACATTGTAAATGCGGGAAGAGATGATCTGGACTGTGCTGTGCCTGTCTTAAAAGATCCCTTGGTAGCTGCCATAATGCTTTTCCAAGATAATTAAACCTTGAGTAAAGGATTATTATTAGTATTCTAGGGATGCTTACATACTGCAAATGCAGGGATAGTTGGGAGGAACAAAAGTCAAAACCTTATTTTACTGGGCCAATGCTTTATAAGCTGCTACTTTTAGGCAGTATGAACTCTTTTTACCCAACATATTGAATTGCTTGATGAAGAAAAAAACCTACCTTAGGCTATCTTCAGTGAGGTTCTGCCAGTTATTTAAAGATTTTCCAAAAGACCTTTCTCCTATAATCCTGTAGAAAGCACCACGCTTACAGGAACACTTGTGCTTTCATTAACATGAGTTGTAGAAACTGGAGAATCTGTTAACAATTTTTCTGTTTGAAGACAACCGTTTTATTGAACCATATCCACCAACAAAAGCAGTGCATCTTGGAAACAGGCATCTTTCTTAGTTTTGAGGAAGTGTGTAAATTTTTTTGAGAAACTGTCAGGTTTATTGTATTAGCTTGAAACAAAGATGAGCTTTGTAATTTGGAGTAGCAGCTGAATTTGCAAAGTCCTTCTAGGTAATAGAGGGATATTTTTCTCCAGTGTGCATGTATTTATTCTTCATTTGAGGAAATTTGGTACACTTGTAGATACATTCCTGCTGACTCCTAGGAATAAGTGGCCTGTGGTGAAGATCTGACTATGCCCAGGAGGTCATAAAGTCAATCTACTTAATTTAGATCATCCTAAATCTTCAGTCCCTTTAGGCTGAAAACGAAACTGAGTTGTAAGATTATTGTAGTTAGTCAGTGGATAGTCACAATCCTTGTTGGGGCAAAAACCCTCAAAAAGTTGAGGGAAAGGATGTCAGGTTTAAAACACTATGTAGGTTTTTCTGCAAATACTTACTTTCATTGGAGAAGGAATTAGGTGGCACAGCCCTTAGATGATGTTTTGATGGGTTCGATTAGCTGCTGACACAGATAAAGGGATGGAGTCATGAATCTTTCTAATCTGTTAAAATATGCATTTTGTACAAGAACAAAGAAGCTCTAATACTGTTGTTGATGTCTTTGAAATCTAACATAAAAGTGGGTCTTTTCAATCTTTTTGAAATTACAGCTTTCATGTAGTAGGCAAGAAGTAGAATAATTTGTCAGAGTAACTCCTGAACTTTTTTGTAATAGCTTTCACAAGATGTTATAAAGAAAGGTTTAAAAAAAATCTAAATTAAATAATCCGTGTAATTACATATGCTTTGCTCTGTTTAATAAAAAAGTACATTGAATGACTGAAGCCAAATTTGGTTGTTTTTTGTAGTAAAAACTTATTTTTCAAAGTATATAGTAGATCATGTATGGTAATGCATTTTTACTTCTCAGTTGTAAAATTTAAGATGCGTTTGGCTTATATTAGGTAAATTTAACACTTTAAATTGTTCAGCTGTTAAGGGTATCTGCAGGGTTCAATATCAACAGCTTAAAGAGAAGAAGAAAAAAAAGAAAGCAACCCCC